CAAATAACAAATGAACTGGAACAGACACATTAAAATGGGAAACAGTAAAAGGGAGAAGAAACAGCGATACAGATAACTGAATCTGATTGAATGGCAAAAAATATTAAACCATTTTAGCAAAACACCAGGTTTGGGGAGTGAGGACAGAATGGAGATAAATAAAAGTCTCAGAGAGAGAGGAGAGGACTGAGTGAAAGAAATATTCTAAAGATCTTATCCTAAAAGGAAGCGAAGTAGAGAAGAAAAGAGAGGGCCAAGTGAGAAAAAAATAGCACACCAAAGTGAAATAAATTATTTGATTTTCAAACTGTAACAGAAAATGCATATCTGAATATGAGGGCATGGAAAGAGAAGCTAATCCCTAATGGAAAGGTTTTTAAAGTATAGCAGAACCTCTAAAATTAAATATCTAGAAAGTTTTGCTTGTTCTGACTGCAGTCTTCCTAAACTTGTCACTTTATGTATTGTTTTAAAAAGGAAATTGACTATACGATAAACAGAGCTTTAAGTGTTTCAGGGATTTTCATTTACTAAGTTTGAACATGCAACTGAATATTTATGGGGTTCAGTGCTGAAGTTGAAAGCAAAGGCTAAGGGAAAAGAGGTTTAAAATTTTTTAACTTTAAATAACCAGGAACTTTTATATAGTTTCATAAAGTGTTTGTGCTCTAAGGCCCTTCTTGTACATCAAAAAAAACTCATACACACATATATAAAAAAGGCTCGCCTTGGATTCCATCCCAAGGAGTTTAATTATTGAAATACCAAGAAAGTCTTGTACCGGCATGCCTCATGGTTAAGACAGGCTCACTTCACAGATTCTAAAGACAGCCTGATGGCTAGAGTTCAGTAATAAATAAAATTTTCTAAGATTAAGCAATGTTCACATCAGACTGCTGATTACAATTAAATTTTTTTTGTGACACTGGTAAGAGTACGTTGAGTAAAAGTTATATTTCATATTGAAGGAATATTTTAGGAACTAAACTATACTCCAGATCACACATCCAAGGTCACAGAGCAATAGAATTTTTTTTTTTTTGCAAAATACACATCTGTTTTTGGTATCATACATAACAGATTATTAAGGGTGTGATGACTATGAAAACTCACAGAGTATAAAACAGGCCTAAATGTGATATTGATATATATGTCAACAGTAAGTTGTTAATGCTACCTCTCTATCCTGGGAATCCTAAAATGAGGAATTTCTACAGAAGACAAAAGAACAGTCATGGTATTAAAAGTAGATAATTGTGAAACAGCCTGAAGGGCTTCCATAGGACTTCAGCCATCTAAAATAAAACATCTCAGATGGGGGGTGGGGGGAGAACCTAGAAGAAACACAGCACCATATTCCAAGCCCTTGCCACCTATTTGGACTGCGGCTGCAATGTCTTCTAAGTCACAGCGTCATTTCAAATGAGGCAGAGAATGAAAAGCAACCAACCAACCAATCAAATGCATGAACTGATATTATTAGTTCTGTGATCCATAAATAAAGACATTCCGAAAAAATTAAAATACGTTCACCAAATTATCTAGTTAAAGTCAGAAGTTTCTCTTCTTGCTTAAAATTAACTGTCTTATAATGGAGATACAAAATTAGAGTTAATTAAGAGATCTGAGCAGCTGTAGACTGATTTCAAAGGTACACAACTCCTAAAAGTGGGGTTCAGTTATGCACTATATCATCTCTGTAACTGTTTCAAACTATATGTCATACTTGCCAGGCTATGTATCTGTCAATAATGCGCATTAGAGAACACTAAACAAATCTATACGACAAACATTTCTACCCTCACATGCCAAAGAACTAGAACCTTTCATCACCGTGAGTCAGTACTGAGTCCCAGGTGTTCCAGAGGCCGAGTCTTTAAAAGGCCACATTAGTGCAAGCACTACTTCGCTGTTACGTTGGCCGCATCACCTACACGTCACTGGTACTCAAAGACTCCTCAAAGGAGGCACTTCCGAAATGAGAGATAAGCTGTAGCCTCTTAAGTAATTACTTACCAGAAAATAACATTTACCAGCTGATATATCAAAATTTTTTTACAAAACTAAAAGTCTTTCAGTTTCAACATCAGTTGCACCTGGGTTCCAGATTATGCTCTGCCACATACTGACGACATAGTCTCTGTGGCTTTAATTTCCTCATCTGGAAAATGGGAAGCAGTAACACCTACTCTACAGGATTAATACGCATATAACTGATACACCGTATATGACATACGTGGCTCACAGTACACTGCATACAGCTCCTAAACGAGTTTTTCTTTCTTAAAAGAACAAACCATTTCCGTTTTTCCTTTTCTGCCTCATATTCCCCCTTCGCATTTACAGAAGGGCTCTTCCAACGATTCCTGAGGACTATTCTGTTCTAAGGACTCTGAGGCGCTCTAGAGAGTCTAGCCTGAGAACCATTTTACCGTGGTAGTATGACAGATACGAACTTCACTCTACAAATCAGGAATCAGATAGTGAGCGACCTGTGAGTCAGGGACAGGCAGGTTTGAACCACTGCCACGCAGGGAGCCGGGGCAGCTTCCCACGGTGCTGCAGTGTAAGACGGTGTCCGCCCTTCTCCAACCAAGTCCAAATATAAACGTTGTGTCTGAAGCAACTGGACAAACACAGTGCCCCTCTGTGAGTACTTCCTCCCAGAGCAGAGGTTGGCTGGAAGCCCCTACATTCTAGGTAGCTATGCATTCACCCTCTCAGCCATGGTGCCTCAAAAGACAAAAATGCTACTCTTTTTAAGAATGAGTTTAAAACCTAGCTTAGAAGCTACTTGGAGAAAAAGAACAGCACACAATCATCTGCCCTCATTGTGTGTGTGTGTGTGTGTGTGTGTTTGGAAATTAATTAGAAGGTAACTAATAATGACAGTTTGGTTTAATGTGTATTAGCATACATTTTAAAGAAACAGGGAGACGGTATAGCTCAGGGGAAGAGAGCATGGTCCTGGGTTCAATTCCCAGTGCTCCCTCTAAAAATAAATAAATAAACCTACAAATAAAGAAACACATAAGACTTTTTTGTATATTTTTTTAACTATTAAATTGACTTCACAAAAACAATCCCACATCCAACACTGAGTCTACTATTGGTTCTCCCAAGGTTACAGCTCCAACTCCCACTATCCAACCCTCACCTCAGACACCCACACACATTCCTTCTGCGAGGCTCTTCAGCTGGAATGCCGCCGTGAGTGCTGTGCAAGCACACTGCCCATTTCCTCGTGTCTCACTGCTGAATCGGTGAGAAGCACTACATGGAACGTGGCCTTACCCTGATCTCCTTGTTGCACTTATAAATAAAATAAGATGACATCTCAAAGACACATTTGGTTTGGGTGAGCCATGATGACACTCAGATATGAAATAATACTGTGAACAGGACACATGCCCTATGGTATCACGGTTTCCTAAAACAGCGCATACACTAGCTCAGCTTCTCTGGGTGCAAATGCTGGCACGCAGTCCTGAGGAAGAGAAAAGCTCAGTCCAACAGAGATTTGATTTTAAATTTCACTGTCAGAAGAAAATCCCAGACAGCCTCCTGCTGCCTGACAAACAGGATCGCGATACGAAATCTGTCACGACGACGAAGTCCAGGGTGTTTCCTCCTTTGATAAACACATCAAAACAACTTCCACAATTTTCATTCCAGTCAGGCAGCTTTAACATAAACAAAATAAGTACTTTATTCCCACTAGCTGTTCATGGGACACTGACCATGTTATAAACTATGGAAGATGTGAAACGTTAGCACACCTTGGGAGAGAAGTAGCTTATTCAAATAAGAAAGGTTAAATAAAATTATGGGGAGAATGAGAAAGTTGACCCAAAAACAGAATTTCATATGCTAATAAAATAGCTCATTTTCATACTCTGAACACTGAAATATTCTTTAAAATGTAAAACATACTTCTTATTCACTTTAACCACTGATTAAAAGATTTAGTGTGAGCTATCAAGGGTTCCTAATTTTCAATCTCTTTTGTCATTTAACCTAGACTTTAAAAATGAAATTTGTGGATAAAGAAATCCTTTCACTTGAGAAAAGACTCTTTTTGAATATTAAACATAAAGACAAGATCTGATGAAAATAATGGTATGTTCTCCTACCCAACTACTCGTAGATGAAACTGCAAAAGATGTTTAACTGCCCATGTGGGTGGCAGTGATAATACGCAGTACAAACTTCTTCAGGAGTTTTTTAATACCTCCAAAAGAATTAATTGGCTAATCCTGTTTGGAAAAGCCAGGAAAAAAACCTTCTAAAATTTGTAGCAATACAACAGAATTAACACACAAATGGCTCTGTTTCTGCAAGCTGGGGGGTCCTTTCTTCAGCAGTGCAGTGAACGGGGAGAGCTGCTTGCTCAGGAGGCTTCCTCAAAAACTTCTACTACGAAGTTACAACCAGAGATTCTAAACCAAGAAAGACCCGCCAAGGGGGAAGGGGAGCGAGATACAAGGTCTGAGACAATGATCAAGGCCATGAAATAATCATCTGCACTTAATCTAAACGTTTCATACACGTGAATAAGGCAACAAAAGCAGCCCTACACACACACACACACACACACACACACACACTCCGAGAAAAAGAGGAAGAAAAATCCATTAGGTCCAAATTCAGATCAAATCTACCAGGTATAAATCAGATACAGGAAGGGCAATGGTTCATTATGAGTCGCTACCTGAAATTCCTGCAATGCTGCTACAAAACCTGTCTAACATCTTCTCTTCCTGGTGTTTTAACGAGTCATTTAAAATGCATTTTACAAGCTCAGGGCAAGTTGTGGAATGAAGAGTGCTACATACAACAGAAACCTGTCCCCTTCAGCTCCAAACCGTCCCCCAGAGAAAGAAGTCTTAGTGGAAAAGAGATTAAAACACAGAGGATGGGTGGGGGCAGACAACCAGGTGAAGGAGGTGGACAGAGGGACAAATGTGAGAGAGGGAGAACTAACTGAATTCCACAATTACCTGGAATGCTCTTCCCTTCCCTCCTCTTCACCGTCAGTCACCGGGGTTATAACTTCGGAATCCAACCAAAAGACACTGTCATCTCCCGAAGTGCTACTCTCGCTTTCAGTCTCCATCTTGAACAAAAAAGTTTAAACCGCACGGCATGGACTAAACACCACCAGTGTTCAGGCTGTTCAGCTCTACAGGTGTACACGCAGGTGCTACGTGACCATGCCGGGCCACAGTCTGTTTCGTGCAGGGTTAATTACAGTTGCAGCAAAGACAGGAAATCCCATACAGCACACTCACCACGTCAGACTGCGACACCTGCGACACCGGGCCCCGCCCACTGCCCTGGGCTCAATGACCTACATAACCAAACGCAGAACCCAAATGCAGGTGATCTTTCACTGATTATTATTTAGTTAATAACTATTTCTCTCTTCTCAAAGTTGCCAGTTAGTAAGTTAAAAAACAGAAGTTTTCAAAATGCAGCCTTTTCTTCCTTATACTCCTTTTTTATCTCAGACTTAAGAAAGGTAAACAGAACCCTAGAAAGACTAACACTGCTGCAAAGGTTTCTTGCGCCAAGCATCGTGAGAGGCATGGCTACAGACCTCACAGCCGAGGAGGACCACAACTGAGCACGGTCTAGGGACCTGCCCGGCTTCGTGCTTCTAGTATTACACCCATCTCTCTTTCTCCCCAGTAGTAACTGTCATACACACCTTGGCTCAGGTACCCAAAGTGGGGCACAACAACCAAGTCTGTCCACGGGTTTTTAAGGGGAAAAAAAAGTATCATGAGTTAAAAGATGCTGACAATTAGCAAGTAAAAGCATGCAACATTTTTACAAATAATTTAAACTGCAGGCGTCTATGGTAGCAGTAAGATGACCCACTGGGGAAGGAGTGGGAAGTGCAACACCTGTACCCCTGGCAGCAGCACAACTGTTACTGAGAACACAGCCATGCCGGTACCAACCACTGACACGCCAGCCAGTCACGAGCATCTGCCTTTTACTGAGCAGCCACAAACGGCTGAGCCTAGTTTTATACTAAATCTGATCAGATAAAATTTATCTAAAGACACCCAACTGGGATACCTTTGAATTTTCGTATTTGAAAATAAGGAAAATGAATCCTCTAGCTGACTTAGTTTAATACAATACCTTTTCCTTTCTACAAAACTACAATTTACATAACGTGTTACTGTTTTAACCCTGTTGCTTCAAAAATTACATAGTTTTAATCTACTGACTGTGATCATTAAATATATTCCTGATAGAAACCAAAATTTGCTGTCAGGACTGGGAACAAATTTAGAAAACAAACTTGAGAGCAGCTCTAGTGGAAAAACTCCTAAACAATTTACACAGAGATATCTTGCAAACTAGTCTAATGAGTTTCACTCAAGACAAATCCAGAGCAAATTTTGGCCTGAATATAAGCATAAAAAAATGAAAGGATTATTGAGATCTTTCTGTGTCATAAATCCCCTATCATTTTCCAAATATTCCAAAGAGATAGAATTAAATTTAACCTCTTCCTCATTCCATCCATTAAAATAATTCCCAATGGATCAAAAACTTAAATGCAAAAGTAAAACCATAAAAGAAAATTAAGGGAAAGCTTTTACCACCTCACAGTGACAAAGTCCTAAGTACAATTCTAAGAAGCCCTGAAACCATAAAAGACTGATACATTTTACTATCTACAAATTTTCAAATCTTTCCTAATCAAAGAAAAAAAATTTAGTTATAAAGTCAAAGATAATTAAGAAAAAAACATTTGGAACCTATCGCAATGGGCTAATTTCCTTAATATACATAGAGTGCATTTAAGACCCAATAACCCGAAAGATAAATAGGCAAAAAGCATAAACAGTATAATTATAGAAAAATACGAAAGAACCTTAAAACATTATAAGAAGTATTTAATTTCACTCATAGTAGAAATGCAAATCACAATAAGATGCTTTTTTATCTATCAGGCAAAGATTTTTTTAAAAAAAGTTTTAACAAGCTATTTGGAAGAAAATGTGGGAAAATAAACATACACTGTCAGTGGGAATATAAATTGGTACAAACTCTGTGCAGGGCAATGTGGCAAAAAATGATGTGTTTTCATGAATCCTATTTCCCCTTCCTTTAAATCATTTCTTCTGCCCTTTCATTCTCAAGGCTGATTTACCTCACCGCCTCAAAGCCCTTTCAAACATGAAAAAGTGACCGCAAGCAGCACCTGCGCACAGGACACCAAGGGCAGTCTGACTAATGCAGGATCACTCAGGAAGCCTCCTTTTGTATCCCCGCTGCCACATCAGGCTCCATCCTCCCCACCCTGCACCCCAGCTGCAGTGAGAGCCTGCTCTCGCCTCACCCCGACCCATGCACCAAGGCAGACCTTCTAAGACTTGTTCCCACAGTTTTGACTCTGCTACCAGAAGTTAAAAAAAAAAAGTTTTCAACTTCAAAATCAACACGTTATCTGTTTTCTATTCCCTTCTTCAGCAGCTAATGAAAATCTAGCAGAAACAAAAGGTAACAAAGAGCAGGGAGGCAGGGAAGGAACCAAGCAGAGTCCATCTCAAGGCCACCAGAAGCAAAGAAAGGAACTGGGTGCTCCTGCAGACCAAGCGGTTGCTTTAACCCCTTTTTTCCTGATTGGCGTAACACCTGCTCAGACTTCACGTCCCCAACAAGCTTTTTATAGAGCACAAGTCTCCGACCTAAACCCGGAGAATCACCATCAGTAGTTTAGAACCAGCTGATTCTTCATCCTGTACTGACCAAGAGGTAAGGAAGCTGAGCGAAAGGGAAGCTCCTAATCCCTGCGGCAAGCGGAGAAGCATTCTTAGCAACAGTTTAAGAATCACACAGTAGAAAGCATTTTTTGAAGAGCAAAACAATTTAAAGATACAAGCCCGCTAAAATTTAGAATGAATACACAGTCAGTATAAGAAGAGTTAATGACAGATGACCCTTGGAACCTTACAAATGGTACTTTTACATCTGGAGGAAAATCTTCAGGCATTGGAAATACTTTAGAAGGATTCGTGCTTAATTTTTCTAATACAATTATTTGATACACACGTTTATTACACTCAGACACACTCTTCATGTTTGGAATACACAATTTTCTGATGATCCATTTGGCATATCTACGTCTAGAGTCACAGCTATGAAGCATTCTGTTGACAAGCTTGGTCTGCTTGGCTAAAAAATGCAACACTTCATGTTAGAGAAGATTTTGCTTCATCAGAAACACATATTCAAAGATAGCTCTAACCCTGAACTGTTCAAAAGAACTAAATGAAACTTCCCCAAAAAAATGGCTATCTGAATATCTCATCCCTATCACAAGAATATATTCACCAAAAAAAGGTTCCATTTCAAACAGCTTTTTATAAAGCTGGGGCGGGGGGGGGGGGGAAGAGTTTTCAATAGAAATGGAAGTATTTTGAAGTCAGAGACGTGGGCTCCAATCCCAACTATGCTGTTTATATATAGTATGGTCTGGGGCAAGTAACTTAAATTGAGTCTCACTTTGAGAATCTCTAAAGGAGGAATAACAACCTTGTAAGGTTAATGTATGTATTAATAATGATGCATGTAATGAAATTATCACACTGCACAGTATAGATAAGGCCCCCTAGAAATGACAGCCATCACTGAAGCCATAAAATGTTCTGACTGCTGTGATTACATAAAAACTGAGGAACAAGGTATTTCAATCTGTAAATGTCTGGCTTGCCAAACTGCAGTTCTTACCACTCCTTAAAAGAGAGCAGTAATCCAGTAAATAAAAGGAAACCAATCTCAATGAAATTAAGCAGTTGTTTCCTAATTATTTGAATCCCTTTGATGAATGTGAAAGATGGAAAATCAAAAATTAAAACTAAACGCTCATACTATCCCCTCATCACATTAATACAGGGATTACAAAGTAAGTGCATATAAAATTAGATCATAAGCCAGTTGGCATGACATTTCCAATCTTCTTAATAACGACATTAAGTGGAAACTTCACAAGTATATGAATAAGCTCTCCCAAAATCCAACTGAAACACTCTATTGTTTAAATTAAGGTCTACATTTTTAGATAAATAATCAAAGATTAAAGGCACACTTCTGGTATTCAAGTTTAAAAAATACATAATGTTT